CTTGGACTTCAATGGGATACTAATACGGATACCTTCTGTTTTAATGCTCAAGACGTTATTGATTTCATCCTGTCAAATGACAAAACAAAACTTGTGTTTTGAAAGCCGCTTCAAATATCTTCGATCCTGTTGGGTTTCTTGCTTTATATGTTATTCAAGCAAAAGCTCTGTTTCAAGATTTATGGCTGAAAGGTATTGACTGGGATGAAATTATCCAACCAGAATTGCAAGACAAGTGGAACAAATGGTATAGGCAACTATGTGATCTACCTAATATCCAGATACCTCGGTGGTATTTTTCGTGATGTTGATGAAACACCTGAAACACTAGAACTACATTGTTTTTGTGATTCATCTCAAAGTGCTTACGGAGCAGCAGTGTACGTGAAATTCCGTAGCTTAAAATATTGTGGAACAAGTTTAGTGATAGCCAAGAGCAGAGTGGCTTCCCTGAAAAAATTATCTTTACCAAGACTCGAGCTTATGGCAGCAGTGTTAGGTGCAAGACTTGTAACTACAGTCCGTGTATGCATTTTACTCAAGCTAAGATTCATTTATGGACAGATTCTCTTATTGTGCTTCATTGGATAAAGAACTCACCACGGCGATGGAAAACATTCGTACAAAATCGAGTGTCTGAAATTCAAGACAAAACATCACGAGCATGTGGCATCATTGTCCTGGCTCAGATAATCCAGCCGATAAAATCACACGTGGTGTTAAAGTGAGTGATCTTGTAGTAGATCAAGTGTGGTGGCATGGACCTCCATGGCTTCATCAAGATGAAATAAATTGGCCTAAAGTGAACGAGCATTGTAACATAGTAGATAGTGCTGAAGAAAGAGTTGTGACTCAAGTTACCAGCAGTGTTACAACCTGTGTTAAAAATAGAGAACTTTAGTGACTTAGTTAAACTTTTAAGAGTCACGTCATATGTATTTAGATTCATTAATAATTTGAAGTCACAGAATAGAGTGATTGGTCCTGTGACCAAAAATGAAATATGTAATGCTATGTGTTATTGGATTAACTTATCACAAGGTGAGTATTTTTTTGCAGAATTGAATGATGTTAAATGTAAAAAAACCATTGTCTCATAATTCCAAATTGTTTGGGTTAAATCCAGTAATGGATGAAAAAGGTTGTTTAAGAGTTGGAAGTAGATTAGTAAAATCATCATTAGATGCCGATGAAATTTCCTCTAATATTACCAAATAATTATTTTTCTCGTTTAATTATTTTGAATTGTCATGAAAAGGTACTTCATAGTGGTGTAAATGAAACTTTAGTGCAAGTAAGAGGGAAATTTTGGATTTTAAAAGCTAGACGTTTTGTAAAATCTGTGTTACATGATTGTAGATTTTGTAAAAAATATAATGCTAAAGCTGGACACGAGATATCGGCTCCTCTTCCAGCTGACCGAGTGGAGAAAGCTCAACCATTTGAGGTAAGTGGCATAGATTTCGCTGGCCCTTTGTATTTAAAGGATGGTACAAAAGTGTATATTTCATTGTTTACCTGTGCAGTGACTCGAGGAGTCCATTTAGAATTGTTATCAAATTTAAGTGCAGAGTGTTTCATTCAAGCCTTACGTAGATTTTTTGCACGTAGGGGTATTATGTAGAGTTATATATTCTGGCTAAAACCTTTAAGACTGCTGATCGTGAATTAAAATATTTGTATAAATTATGTAAAGATGAAAAGGTTCTAAATTTCCTTGGAAAAAAATGGGTTTGAATGGAAATTTATTGTAGAAGGTGCTCCTTGGTGGGGCGGATTCTGGGAACGTTTGGTAAGATCTGTAAAAACTTGTTTTTAAAACGTATCTTAGGTAAAGCTTCTTTATATTATGAAGAACTGTATACTGTTTTAGTTGAAGCTTTTTTATTAATTCTAGACCTATAACGTATGTATACAATGAACCAAATGAACCTGATCCTCTTTCACCATCTCATTTTATAACTGGATCTAGATTGACTGTTTTACCTTCACCTGAATCTAAAACTAGAATCTACAAGATCTCAGTTGATTAAAAATGGAAGCATAGGCAATTAATATTAGAGCATTTTTGGAAAAGGTTTTATAAAGAATATTTGTTAAAATTAAGATCAGTCATGTTTTCAAAAACTCCAAAAATATCTCCTGTGTTTAAAATTAATGATGTTGTACTTGTACGAGAAGATAATGTGAAACACTGTAACTGGAAGTTAGGTAGGGTTAAGGAATTATTTCACGGAAGAGATGGTAGAATTAGATCTTGTGAAATTCAGTTGGATAAGGGTGTTATTAGAAGACCAATTGAAAGACTATATAATCTTGAAGTTCAGTAAAATTGATGCATTCGTTTACAGACACATGGGTGGGAGTGTTAAATATAAGTTTATGACTATGTATCCTCGAATTGCCAATAGATGGCAGTAGTGTTTATTTGTAAAAAGAAACTGTGATGTCATAATTATGTACATGTATTAGCTCGTCTTTGGTGTCTGTCAATAAATGTTGTATGGAATAACGCTCTCTGTTTATTACTTTAAATTTGATCTAGTCTGATTTATTAGAGACTTGCATATATTTTGTTTATCCTCTGACTGCTCAAATTTTTTAACAAAATTGTTTCAAAAATTGCATATTTTTTATTTCACATTTGAAATCTACACACCAATTCACTAACTTATCCAAATATATGAAATTTGGGTGAAAATCAATCCCATCTTTTGGGAAAAAAGGGCAATTTAATGTCTAAACACTGCACAATATGTAGTACTAACAGTTAAACATTGAAACAGCATGACATGCTTTTAACACAGGAAAAATACAAGCTCACATATTATCATAGGATGAGCAAATGTTGCTACATTTATAGAAATCCCACAATAAGCAGTCAGAGAGTTAATTATATAAAAAAGGTATTATTCATTGAATATATGTGACTACATACCTTTATAAATCCAAACAATTTTTTACACTTTCTTCTCCACTACTTTTACATTTTTATATCACGCCACAATAATTGTTTCCCTTTTTCTCCCTTAAACACATAGCTTCATAAAATACTTTTAAATAAAGTACTTTTGTGACTTTATTTAAAAGTATTTTATGAAGCTTATAATCCATTAAACACATTCTGCAAATACTATAATTAAAAACTTCTTAGTTACGGAACGCTAGGTCTAAAAAATAAAGCTCTCGTTTCGTGTTACAAATATTACAACTTCTTATGTAATATGATGAAAAATATCTACAATTGCAAAATTTTAAAAGGTACACTCCATATATATATATATATAACACTTTATAATCAACTTAGCATCTAAAGTTATAAGTAAATTGGAGTCAAAGTAAGGCAATTCCTTGCTATAGTGCAAGGACATGTATAATTTTTTTTTTTTTTTTTTTTAATTTTTGCCTTTTATTAAGTTTCTTTATGTATTTATGTAACACTTTATAATGATATATATGTAATCAAGGTATAAAAGTATCAAACACAAAGGTTGAGTGGATTTTTAGCGAATAATACATTTCATTCTAATAAAAAGAAAGGAATAAATATTACATAAGCCTCAGTTAAAACTTATTAAGTTTATAACTTGAATTAGAAAATTGGATACTTTCTGATTACCCTCACACCTTGAAAAGTATTCATGAGGCGATGCACTATTTCCCAAAATAAGCAACCCATGACATCATCAAAATGGCAACCCAAATATGCAGATATGTCGCAGAATGAGCATCAATTATCAGTGCTTTTGATAATAGTCATTAGTGTTGTTTTATTATTATTGAGTGCACTTTTCTTTTCCCTTGTAAGGAATCATAATGGAACAGTAAAGTTTCCCAGCTCATGAAAATGAAAGCATTGATCATTATTCTGAAACATGGAGTTGACCTAACACTAGAGAATGCAAAAATTTGCATTCCATGAAGCTGTACTTAACAAATGCTAAAATTTTATGGATCAAAATTTGCGTGCTGATAACGAGTTTGTGCAATTCTTTGATGTTGTAAGCAAAAACAGATTTCTTTCTGTAGTGTTTTTGAACTAAAATAGTTTGCTGGGCACATGAGAAGATCAGAAAAAAATGATAAGCATATGGTAAAAAAGGTAAGTATTATGGATATTTCTTGTATTTTAAATTTTGTTAATTGGTTTCTGTTTTATGTAATTCCTACTGCATCATCATTTTAGAAAATGGCTGTTGACTTTTGTGTCTTAGATGAGCAAAAAATTATTAACCAATGGTGGGGACTTTTCAAGAAGAGATGAGGTTGATCAAAAAATACAAAAAATTCTTGCTTTCTAATAAAATTCATAAAAATGAGCAAAAGGAGGGTGTTAAGCAGAGTAATTAAAATTTGTGAACTAATAATTAAAAAAATACTACATGACACAAACCAAGAACAGCAGCATAATCAAATGTGTAGCATATATTGTATAAAGTGTGATATAATGTAACTTAATTGTAGGGGGAAAGTAGTTAAATGCAAGCATTTTAAATCTGATCTCTTTATTGCTGATATTTTCACAAAAAATTTGGACCAGTATGACTTAAACTCGGATTAATCTCTTTTTATTCCTTTAATCATTCTCTTTCTTTTCACTGACAGATATCTTACATAGATATTTAATTATCTGTAAAAAAAGATTCATGACATAGCATCCATGAAAACAAACATCATTTATAACATAACAGAAACCAAGCAATATGTAATGAGATTTAAGAGTACAAGCATGTTACTATGCGGATATTTTGATAGTGGAAGGAAAAGAGTTTAAGGAAAGTACATCAAAGTAGTAAATAAAACTACATTTAAATCTATTTCAAAATAGAATTCTGGAGAGGGTAAAATTATATTTCATATGTAAAGCAAAATTAAAGTTTTTAATAAGAATTCTAGAATTTTATCATCATTAAAATTTTTACACACTCATCAGATTTTTAAAAATAAGATTATGAATTCATAAATTTATAATTATTTATTGCAATATACATATATCATACCCATTCATCTTGTAAAGTTTTTAATATAGCTGGTATACTAGTTGCAGATGGAGGACGAGGTTTTACAGCTGATGGAGCTGAAAGAAAAACAATTATTTTAACAATTTTCTGTTACTATTAAATGATTCTAATTCACATAATAAAATGTAAAAAAAAAAGTAAAATAAGTAAATCCTGGTAAAATAAAGTCTTCCGCATGTTTCAAATAACTTTCCAATCCCTAATAAATAATTACAAAAATAATAAATAAAATAGAGGGGTAAGAAATTTCAGATAAGCTTTGCTGCAACAAAATTCCTAGTTTATTATAATAAGGTAAAAATTTTCTGTCTTAAAAATTTATTACATTGATATATTCATGTTATTTCTACATTTGAAACAAATTTTAACTCATATTTTTCTAATTAAAAAAGCATTTAGATCATGAACACATTCATATATTCTCTTAAAAATTATGATGTTCATTCATGTTATTTCTGTATTTGAAACAAATTCCATATTTTTCTAAATAAAAAAAGTATTTAGATATACAATACACACACCACTTAAAAAAATACAGACTACTCCCTTAAACACATATTGCACATCCAAATATGAATAGAAACACATAAATGTACAATTTAAAATAAGCATAACAGCATAACATCCGGGAAATTTAAAGCCATGACTTGAATAATGGGAGATCAGAATGCTAATGCCTAAAAGACAAATGAAAAATTTAGGCAGGAACCCCAACCGGAAATTTCAACTGAGATAGAAAAAATGTTTCTACATTATTTACTTGACTAAAAAAGTCAGCATAATATAAAACTTCTTTAAAATATTTTATAGCCAAAAAGATTTATAAAAACTGATTTTTATTAACACACTATTTATCACAACTTTTCTCTTTCAAACAGTTACACCAAAGAAATCACATACTTGCCTTAACAAATCACTCATACCAGGAAAAGAAAGAAGTGTAGCATTTTATTCAATAAATTTGAATTAATTACAGAAAACTGTTATAAGCACTCTACATGGAAAACAGGTATTGTCATTACGGAGTCACAGTAAAAACCAAAGCTTACAGCTTCAAAAAACACTTAATAAAGCATGTTGTTCATTCAATATAAAAATTACAAAACCTTATATTTATATACAGTACAAAGTCTGTAATCCGGATGTCCATTATCCGGAATGATCTATAATCCGGACCTCGAAGCCACAAAAATTTTTTTTTCTATGCTTTACGCATGCACGTTTAATGTTGCGCATGCACAATTAATGTTTACGCATGCGCGTTTAGCACAAAAAAAAAAAAAAAAAAAAACGAAACAATTTACATTGAAAAGAAATGTTTAATAAAATAAACAAATAAATATTAAGCTTTTTTTGGTACATTTTGATACCCTTTAGATCATAATTGCTCTTTATTTCATAAATTACAGTTTCATATTTTTAATTGTATAATTTCTGCATGCCATCTTACCAGATTTAAATTGATGAAAACCCTTAATCCGGAATAGGCGAAGTCCCAACGAGTCCGGATTACGGACTTTGTACAGTCAAAAGTCATTAATTCAGACACCCATAATCCGGACCTCAAAGCTACAAACTTTCTGTGCATGCGCCGCGTTGACACATGCGCGTAAGACCTTTACTGCTGCAAATATGAGTGTGCGCATTCGCATAATACGGTTATGCATACGCGTTTAATGTATAATGGACGGTATAAGCTAAAATTATCTAATTCAGTTAATGTTGCAGATTGCGTTGTTCCTTAATCTTCGAATTGGATCCGGTTTATTATTTTTTGCAGACTGTTAGAGCAATTTTATAAAAGTAAGCTTGAACTTTCGATTATGTCAAAGAGAATTTCCGATCCTGGATCCAAAGGATCTACAAAGCGAAAGTATGTTTCGACGACAATCAAACAAAAAGTGGAATTGCTGCATAAAATGTATAAAGGCATATCCTTTGTTTTTTTAACCATTCCGAAATCTGTTTATCAATTTTACGCTGCTCTGGGGGGGAGGAACGCCGCGGCGCACAATGAATTGGAAGTTGATCTGTCAGCACTATCCTTACCTTCAGGGCAGATGTTTTTATTTTATTTGGCTTAAATTCCTTACTAAGTGCAGCATTTCATCTCGATGTACTCCGTCTTTGATATGATTTAAATCAAATTCCTCGTCATTATAATTCTCTTCCGATAGTGAAGAAAGTGACACAGAGGTTATTGAAAACAAACAAATTTTGATTAGCAAATTAGTCGGTATTCTCAACACAGCAATTATAGAATTTGAACAGCGGAACTTTGTAACTGAACAAGAAATTATGTCTGTTTATAGAATTAAAGAGAAAGTATTATCACATGAAACGAAGCAACTTAAACAACTTACATTGAAAGAAATGTTTAATAAAGTAAACAAATAAATATTAAGCTTTTTTTTTTTTTTTTTTTTTTTTTTTTTGCAAATTTTGTTACTCTTTAGATCATAATTGTTCTTTATTTCATCAGTTAATGGTTTCATATTTTTAATTTTATAATTTCTGCATGCCATCTTACCAAATTTAAAGTGATGATCTATAATCCGGAATCGCCGAAGTCCCGACAAGTCCGGATTAACAACTTTTGACTGTACTGTATATGGTTACTGGAATTCTGACATCACACAGTTATATGTAGTTAGAATAGAAAACAAAAAGCAGTAGAATACTATTTCCATCCAATTGTTAAAATAACCATTTTATGTTTGAATTTGAGACTCACTGCAAACAAACTAGACTTGTTTAAAAAAACATTTAACAAAACAAACTTACTTTTTATTTCTATTAAACTTTCCTCAGAAAGTTCTTTTCCATTAATAGGATCTGTTCCATTTTCTTGAATGTACTTAACTACAAGCCTTTTTTCAAATATACTTCCAGATACTGGAGATACAACTGGCTGCTCTGGAACTTCATTACTCACTAAAACAAAAAAATAAAAAATAATAAATCACTTTGATGGGCATTTTTCTTGATGCATAAATACTTTCTCACATTAAACATAATTAATTTTAAAAATTTACTTTTATTACTCATTACTATTTAGCTACGAAATCCAACTGCTGATTATGAATGAATGATCATCTAATTTTATAGCAACAAACATATGTCCAACTAAGACAATATCTAAAAGTTATATTCCTCTATGCAAATCTTGAAAAATAAATTTTGAACAAAAACGATAGATACAAGTTGATTTCCAAAATTTCTGATGATTTTTCCTTTAATGAAATAAATACTATGATTTTAAAAGTAACAGCTCTAAATATCTGTAATGAATTGGAAATAAAGGAAGCTAACACATGACTGTGCTAACATTTTGCATAATTTTAGTCTTCAAAAATGAATGTTAAAGGAAAGCTTACATCTCTCTAAGCTAAAACTAACAGATTGGGATAGCAACTATAATGATCATAATTTCTCTAATTTGAAAGGAAAAGGATGGCCAGTATATTGTAGCCTTGGCTACTAATGTTTAAAATTAATTTATGACTAGTAACAGCATGAATTATAAACAAATAGCTAAGTTATTGCATTTTATTTTCCAGCTATCGAAATGCGACGCTACGAGCAACGTTTTGAAACCAAAACCTAGCAATCATGAATCAGAACTAGAACTAGTTGCCATTCAGCATAAAGAAATTTAAATATAAATATGAACTACTTATTGGCATTTAGCATAAAAGAAATATAAATATGAATATTAACAAAATATTAAAGTTAATTTTATAAAATAATTAAACACATGAACAAATATATGAAATAAAAAATAATTATTTCTCATGCAATAACTGGGCCACTACACTACTCCCCCACCAGTAACTAAGTTACGTTACGAAGATGGAGAAATAGGTAGTAACTAGTATTGCAGTGTTAACCACTATCAGAATAATTTAGAGTCAGTCCTTGAATCTAACAGGTAAACGTATAGTTCTGCCTGTGCGAGAATGTTTTTGATTCACATCCGAATTTGAGTCCGGTCTCTGCAAGTTACTGTAGTCAGGTTGTATCAACTGGGAATTTTCCTCAGCTAAAATATATGCTGGTTTCAAGCGATCCAGGGATACATTAACATGTTTTCCTTTTATGCTAATAGTAAAATATTTGTCCTTGCGATCAATAACAGGAAATGGTCCTTCATAAGGAGGTTCCAAAGGTTTTTTTTCTACCCGATCTATTCGCTGAAACACATGAGAACAATTTTTTAAGTCTTTATGTACAAATATCTGTTCAGATGAATTTTTACGAATTAGTCTGGGTCCAACAACTTCCATCTGTTTCTGGAGTTTATTAGCAAAAGTCTCCGATGCTGTCTGGATACTTGGTTCTCTGAAAAACTCTCCAGGAAGTCTGAGACTCTGGCCATAAACTACTTGCGCAATAGAATGATTGGTATCTTCTTGAATAGTGCAGTACGCAAACCCAAAAGTACTGTTGGTAACGTGTCCGTCCAAGATATGTTGTTGTGGGCTTTGAAATGCTGTTTTTAATGTTCGATGAAGGCGCTCAACTTGCCATTACACGAGGGGTGGTAGGCAGTAGTGTGTGTTGTAAATTGATGCCACAGATTTTGGACAAAGCTCGTAATGTATCACTTTTAAATTGGGATCCACGATCACTAATGAGTTTACTTGGCGTTCCGAAACGCGCAATCCAGTTGCTATAAAAGGCTCTTGCGACGTTCTCAGCGGAAATATTTTCTAAAGGAATTGCTTCCATCCAATTCGAAAATCTATCTATGCAAGTAAGACAATAAATATTCCCTTTAGATGGTGGAAGTGGTCCTATGAGATCGATATGGATGACAGAAAATCTTCCTGGTGGTACTTCAAACTCACCTAATTTTGTTTTGGTATGTGCCGACTGATTTTAGCTTTTTGGCAAGGAATGCAGGTTCTTGTCCACAACTGTACATCTTTTTTTATGTTAGGCCAAATGAATTTTGATGTCATTAATTTCATAGTCGATTTTATTCCTGGATGTGATAAACCATGAATTCGTTGAAAGACGTGTTTTCTGAAAGCCTGAGGAATATACGGCCGAACGAACATGTTTAGTTGATGTATCACACCACAAATATTTCCCCGAAGGTAGAGAACATTGCTTGAAATTCAAGGAAGTAGTGGTTTGCAAACTCTTCAGTTCTTCATCTTGAGTTTGTTCATCAGCTATTTTATCATAATCTATCGATGAAATTTCATTAACTCTAGATAATGTATCCGCCACAATATTATTCTCACCTTTTACATATTTGATATCAGTCGAAAACTGGGAGATGTATTGAAGTTGGCGAGCCTGTCTAGGTGTTGCTTTGTCAAGTTTTTGACGAAAGGCGAATATTAAGGGCTTGTGATCTGTATAAATTGTAAATACTCTTCCTTCTAGATAATGCTTAAAGTGTCTAACTGAAAGATATATGCTTAATAGTTCTCTATCATAGGTGCTATATTTTTGCTGAGTATCACTTAATTTTTTTTTTTCATATTGTTGCAACACTGAGCCAATCGCCGTATCTGAAGCATCTGTAAATAACGCCAGAAGTAGTAATTCAGAATTGGGAAAAGACAACAGTGCCGTGTTCACCAGGTCATTCTTGCACTTTTCAAACTGTTTTTCAGCTTCTTCAGTCCATTCGATTTTACGTTTGTCCCTCTTTTTAGCTCCCTTAAGATACGCATGTAACAATGCTTGATTCTTCGCTGCATCCTTTATATAACGACGATAAAAGTTAAGTATTCCAAGAAAAGTTCTAAGTTCATGAATTGTTTCTGGTCGTTTGTAGTTAGTAATAGCTTGAACTCTTTCTGGCAAAAAACGGGAAACCTTAGGTGTAATTAGGTAGCCTAGAAACTCGATTTTTGGGAAACAGCAAAGACAGATTTTGAAACATTAATTCTTAACCCAAATGTATGTAATCTTTCGAAAACTAATTTAAGGTGATTTTCGTTGTCTTCATGGGTACTGGATGCAATGAGTATATCGTCTAAATAGGGAAAAACGAATTCTAATCCTCTAAAGACTTCATGAATAAATCTTTGGAACGTTTGCAGGAGCATTTTTTAAACCGAAACTCATTACATTAAATTCGTATAAACCGAAAGGAGTGATGATAGCCGTTTTACATTTGTCTTCTTCTGCAATGGGAATTTGAAAATAAGCTTTGAATAAATCAATTTTAGAAAAAATATTTGTACCTCTTAAAATATGATGAAAATCTTCAATGCGAGGAATTGGGTATCGATCAGGTATCGTCTGAGCATTCAATCGTCGGTAGTCTCCGCAAGGACGATATGAACCATCCTTTTTCGTAACAAGGTGCAAGGGGCTTGACCACTGGGAGTTTGATGGACGAATTATTCCATTGTCAAGCATAAATTTAAATTCCTCTTTAGCTATAGCTAAGCGTTTTGGATCGAGCTGTCGTGCCTTTGAATAAACGGGTTGACCATCAGTCGTAATAAAATGTGTAACACCATGTTTAATTTGTGTAGGAAAAAGGTTAGGTTTAGAAATTTCGGGATATTTCGACAGTAAATCGAAAATTTTTATGGATTTATTTAATGTGGTTACTGAGTAATCACTGGAAATAGCAGCGACATCACACTGGACACAAAGCTGTGTTACGCCATCAATTAATTTTTTCTTATTTATATCGACAAGCAATTTATATTTGTGAAGAAAGTCAGCTCCTAAAATACCTTTTGTGACATCAGCAATTATGAATGGAAACTGAAAATCACGACGTAATCCCAAATCAAGAGTTAGCGTTTTTATGCCATAAGTGGAAATATCTGTGCCATTAGCTGCATACAGTTTATATTCAGTTTTACATTTATTCTGTGAAGTAGCAGGAATTATGCTTACGTCAGCTCCGCTATCAATAAGAAAGTGCAAAATTTGATCTTCGGTCACGAACGAATAAACGAAATTTGCGACAATCCTTCATATTTTCTGCAGCAGCGTTTGCCGCTGAACCTACTGCAGATTCGAGTTTTCCTGGTTTTTGGAATCGTTTTTTTCCGAGGAACAGAGAGACTTGCATTTCTCTGGAATGCATTTTGCTCCGAAACGAAAGTGATAAAACAAAATTTGTCAGTAGGGTCATATCGTTTACGAGATCGGCTTCGAGATCGTGAACGTGAATTACGTAAATCCGAGTCCCTGCGTCTTGAGCGAATGGTTATTTGATCAATTTTTTGTTCAAGAAAGGTAATTCTTTGCAACAAATCATTTGCGGGAACGGAAGGAGCATTAGCACTAAATACTTCTGGTTTCCGATTCATATCACTAATTTTATCTGCCATAGACGCTAACTTGGTTACATCTTCATCACTAACTAATAATATATTTTTTATGGAGTCAGGTAGCTTCTCCAGCCATAAAGTGTTTTGATTAGATTTTCAGACACATCTGTAGTAGCAACTGATCTCAACTTCTGCAAAAGTTGGCTTGGTTTCATGTCTCCAAGTTCGATACCAGTAATCAAACGTTTAATCCGTACATTTTCACTTTCTTTGAATAAATGTAATAACCTAATTTTAGCATCCGAATATTTTGTGGCACTATCGTTCGTTACAATGTCCCAAATATTTTCGACGAACTTAGGTTTGAGCTGTGAAACTAAATAATTAAATTTCGTTTCTTCTGAAACGATATTACTAATTTTGAACTGAGCTTCAACTTGAAAAAACCATATTTCCGGTTTATCAATCCAAAAAGGAGGCATTTTTACACTCACCTTATGAAGCTCCGGTGACTGCATCGTATCTTTCATAGCAGTTTCAGAAGAGTCATTTGTTGACATTTCGAAAATTAATCAGGGTCACCACGATGTAGCCTTGGCTACTAATGTTTAAAATTAATTTATGACTAGTAACAGCATGAATTATAAACAAATAGCTAAGTTATTGCACTTTATTTTC